GGAGCAGGTCAGCACTCAGCTCTGACTTCTCTCAGGTTTCTCTCCCTGTGCCAAACCCTCAGCACAGAAAGCTGGGACGGGAGAACCTGAGTCCTGTTGTGAGAATCCCCAAATCCCTGGGGCTGGCCCAGCCCTGCCAGCCCATGCAGTGCCAGCTGTGCCCCATGGGCACCTTGTCCCCAGCCCAGAGCACTCAGTGCCACCTGCAGGGGACACCTGCAGGGCTGGGCACTGCAAAGCTCCCTGGGCAGCCCCTGCCAAGGCCTGATGTGGCAATACCAGTTGTGGCTTTCTCTGGGTCTGGATTGAAGGCACTCCAGACAGTGTTTCATGTTGGGACTCAGGTGTTTATTATTTCATATCAGTAAAACAGTCTCACTGCTGTGAGTTCAGCAGCTTTTCATCAGAAGGCCCAAAACGGCCAACAATCTGTTGGTACAAGGACTTTTAAGACTGAACTCTCCAATGAAGAACTGACACCTGGATTATTTTCCCTTTTACCCAATAACTGATCCCAAAGAGCTGCAATGGGGACTTTTCTGTCCAATTACAAAATGCCACCCAAACCCATGGAGAAGAAGGAGGAAGAAGCATGAAGAAGAAACCCAGGACAAGACCCTGTGCCCTCCATCTTGCTGCCATCCACAACACACTAAAAACCCCAAAACCTCAATTTCTCACCAAGTGATACACCTGCACTGCTCTCTATAATCTATTTCACACTTTTGTGGATTCTGGTCTATCTGGAAGTCTGGGAAACTTTCTCCATGAATGAGGGTCCAAGTCAGTGCTGCCCAGGGGGTCAGGGCACCCCAGAGCAGACACAGAAATATTCCTGGTGAGCCCTGGGTTTCCACAGCCTGAGCTCCCTTGCCATGGGCAAATTGCTGCTGCTGTCCAAGCTGAGCCTGCCCTGGCCCAGTCTGAGGCCGTTCCCTCTGCTCCTGTCCCTGTGCCCTGGGAGCAGAGCCCGACCCCCCCGGCTGTGCCCTCCTGGCAGGGACTTGTGCAGAGCCACAAGGGCCCCTGAGCCTCCTTTGCTCCAGCCCCAGCCCCTGCCCAGCTCCCTCAGGGATTCTGCAGCCCCTGCCCAGCTCCCTCAGGGATTCTGCAGCCCCTGCCCAGCTCCCTCAGGGATTCTGCAGCCCCTGCCCAGCTCCCTCAGGGATTCTCCAGCCCCTGCCCAGCTCCCTCAGGGATTCTCCAGCCCCTGCCCAGCTCCGTTCCCTGCCCTGGACACGCTCCAGCCCCTCCAGGGCTCTCCTGCAGGAGCAGAACTGGACCCAGCCCTCGAGGGGCCTCTCAGAGCCAGCACCAATCTCACTCATTAAAAATCAAATGCTGCCCAAATCCCAGTGAGATGAATTTTCTAAGGACCTGTCTTGACAGTAATTACAGGACAGCTTAAAAAAACCCAACTAGATTGGCATTAGCAGTGGCACAGCAACACTTGGATGCCCTCCCTGAGGCCGGAATTGAGAACAATTCCATTTATCCCTCTCCTCCCAGCTATGCCAGCCACTCTGAGGGCACATTTTGACACAGATTTATTGAGAAGCTGCAGGAACAGCTGAGGTGCACTCAGCACAACAGGGCCCTGTGGTGGAGGGAGCATTTCTAACAACCCTTCCCCACTTTTTGGGATTTATGGCTTTGATACAGAAGTGGCCTGGGAGAAGAGCAGTTCATACTCTTGTTGAGTGTAGCAGAGAGCCACGTGGCTCAGTCCTTTCCTTGAAAATTCAGCAGGGTCAGACCTTCATCAAGCATTCCTTGGGAATTCAAGGTGGTCAGGCCTTAATAAATCCCATTCCATGTGCTATTTCCAGCTGCCTGTTGGCAAATCAGAGTCTGGAGTGCCAGGAGCCACTCGAGCTTTTCCCTTGCATCATCTGCAGCCAGGAGGTGACAAAAGGAGCCCAGCTGTCCCTTGTCCCTCAGCTGTGCCCTAGCCCTGGCTGTCCATTCCTGCCCCAACCTGCTGAGTGCCAGCAAAAGAGAAATAAACACAACACCAAGCAGAGGATCAGGGAATTGGAGAATTAAGGAATGGTTTGGTTTGGGAAGGGACCCTGAACATCATCTCATTCCATGGGCAGGGATGGATCAGCTTGCTCAAGGCCCCAAGGAGAGATTTCAGGCTCTGATGGTTTTTGTCTTCTGAGAATCCAGGGATTAGAGATCCTCCAGGAAGAGTCTCTATCCCAAATGCCAGGACAGACAGTAAGAAATTAAGGAATCTGATATCCTGCCACAGAACACATCCCTGCAGCAGCCTGCTTCCTTTGAGACCCTGAAACACATTCCTGGTGGCCTCATCTCCAACCTGACAGCATTTAAAATGTTCATAATAAACCCTTCATGCTGAGGCAGCTCCAGTCTCTGTCCCTGTGACAAGGACAGGACCCAGGGAGCAGCTGGAGCTGTATCAGGATATTCCATGATTCCATAACCCTTTCCCCTGCCTGTTGGGACATAACAGATACTTCCTCACAGGTAACTCCTCTGGATCCCGATTTAAAAATCCTTTCCTGTGGGGACAAACCTGAACTTTGGGACTTTGTCTTCCCCTAAGCGATCCTGGAATTCTGCTGCCTGAATTCAACTCGCATCATCGCCTTTTTGGGGCGGGGACCCTGCGAAAGTGAAGCCAAAATTTGGTGCTGCCGGCCCGAGCTCCCTCTGCCGGTGCCGGTCCCGCAGCGCCCGCCCGGATCCCGCCGGGATCGCACCCGCATCCCGCTGGGATCCCAACAGGATCCCATCCGCATCTCACCCGCATCCTGCCCGGATCCTGCCCTCATCCCACCCGGATCCTGTCCGGATCCTGCCGGGATCCCTCTCGGATCCCATCCGGATCCTGACCTCATCCCGCCCGGATCCTGCCCGGATCCCACCCGCATCCCGCCCGGATCCTGCCTGGATCCTGTCCACATCCCGCATCCCTCATCCCGCCTGATCCCACCCGGATCCTGCATCCCGCCCTCATCCCACTGGAATCCCACCTGGATCCCATCCGGATCCTGTCCGGATCCCGCCCGGTTCCCCCCCGAATCCCTGCCGGGTCCCGCCCGCAGCCGAGCGGGATCCGGGATGCGCTTCCCGGGCGACCCCGCGGGCTCATCCCGGCTCCAGAGCAGGAGGAGCCGGGCCCTGGGCAGGTGGGCTCTTCTCGGGGGGTTTCTATGGGAGTGGAGGGCATCCAGCTCCCGAGCGGGAAGGGCTTTGTCCCGATCCAGGCAAAAGTTGGCAGCAGAATTTGGAAAAGCCGGGAAGCAAAAAAAAAAACCTTGATTGAGGTTTGAGCCAAGCTCAAAGAGAGTGAAGAGTCCTCAGTTCCCTGTTCCCGCTGTTCAGAATTGCTCTGGGGTTTTTTTTCAGGATGTTCATTTGGGAAAACATCCCAATTTCCTAGGTAAAGTGTGTGGCTGGAATTGCCAATTCCTTTTGCACCACGAGAGGCTTTTTGGGCCTGTTCAGGCTGGAGAGGAGAAGCTCCAGGGCGAGCTCAGAGCCCCTGGCAGGGCCTGCAGGGGCTCCAGGAGAGCTGCAGAGGGACTGGGGACAAGGCCTGCAGGGACAGCACCCAGGCAATGGCTGCCAGTGCCAGAGGGCAGGGCTGGGTGGGATCTTGGCCATGAGGAATTGTTCCCTGGCAGGGTGGGCAGGGCTGGCACAGGGTGCCCAGAGCAGCTGGGGCTGCCCCTGCATCCCTGGCAGTGCCCAAGGCCAGGCTGGGCACTGGGGACACTGGGAGGTGGCCCTGCCATGGCACGGGTGGAGCTGGATTGGATTTAAGGTCCCTTCCAACCCAAACCATTCCAGGATCCTTTAAGCCTCTGGTCCAGCAAACTGGCTTTTAAAAAAGGAAAATCAAAAGCACAGCCCCAGAGGTCCCAGTGACTCCAGAAGGAAGCCAGGATGCCCTGGCAGTGATGCCACAAGAAATTCAGGCAGTGACAGGACTCTGCTTCCATAACTGCAATAAGCAGAAAAATCCAAGTGAATTAAGTGAATTAAAAATCCAAGTGGATTAATCCAAGTGGATTATTTTTTTCCAGGAACTCCTACTTCAAGTAGTATTGAGTTTTCTCTTCTTCATTGGCACAGCCAGAGACAAACCTTCCAATTAATTACTGGTTTAGCTTTTTTATTTTTAAGTTTTTCTTCTTCTTTTGGGGAGGGAGAAAACAAAGGGAGAACAGGGCTAAAAAAGGATTATAGGACTGGACCCTATGGAAGACCAAGATTTCCTGAGCACTTCCAGCACTCCTTCGAGGGTGCCATCACAGAGATTCTAAATAAAATTGGGACTTTTTTAATGTCCCACTTTTTACCCATTTTCTTTAAAAAAAAACCCAAAAGCTTTCTAAATCTCCCCTCTTTTTTTTTTTTTTTTTTGTTTTCTTAAAAAAATAAATGTTGGGACTTTTTAACCTCCTTTTTTTTTTTTTCCCATTTTCTTGAAAAAATAAATCTCATTACAGGGGTCTCCCTTCCAGCTGATTCCCAATGTTTTACAGGATGAGTTCCACATCCTGCTGCCTTCACAGCAGCCTCAAAGCCAGGTTTGAATTCTATGGAATAAGCAGCAATGAAGTCGCTATCAAAATAAGCAGGAGCTCCCAAAAAACCTCAAACAACCAAACAAGAGGAGCTGAATGAACTCATCAAAGACCTTTTGGAGCACTGGGGCTGGTGAATCACCAGTTTTTCCCTCCCTCAGCAACTCCATCCTTGCCTGGAGCCCCGGGGAGGGCAGGTGGAGTGGGAAGGGCATGACTTCAGCAAGTTAAAAAAAAAAAAAAAACCTTCAAAAAAAAAAAAAAAAAGGGCAGAAAGTCGACATCACCCCAGTCATGTGATACAAAAGAACCAATGGAGGCAGGTCCTGGAAAGGGGAACAGTTAAATTTGTAATTTGGGTTGTGTGAAACACTTCTTTGGGCCTCATAAACAACCACAGAACCACAAGTTGGGTACGGAGGCAGTCACCCAAGAGCGGGTCCGGGATATTGGTCAGCAGGGAGGGCGAATCGTTGTGCCTGCAAACCACAGGGTTTCGGAGGGTGGTAAGCATCAGCAACCACAAGCAAGCCGCTATATTTTTTTTTTTTTCCCCTCCTCAAGAAACAATTTCAGAGTTCTTTGAGCAAAAGTAGCTCAGGATCCGCTCCCGAGGCGCCGGGATGGAGCCGAGAGGGATGGCTGGGAGGAGGGTGGTGGCAATGACCAATCTTCACTTTGCACTCCCCAAGGTGGAAGAAACCCTAAATTCCCTCCCAGTGAAGAGAGAGTGAGTTTTAGAGAGGAAACAATGGCTTCAAACAGCATATTTGAGTCACTTCCTTCTTACCAGCACTTCTTGAGAGGTAAGTGCCATTCAGAATTTCTAAATGGATGTTTTGCTTTCCCATGTTTCACAAAATGCATGTCTGGAGAGGATCTGGGCACTTCCTTGCAGCACATGGGGTTTTTTCCACTTCAGTTTTCTTTGAGTTGATATCTGAGCTGGCAGAAATATCATCTCCTTGCTTATCAGTGAAAGAGATTCCAACAAGGTTTCATTTGAGCTGTTCAAACAACCATTGCATGCTCGTGAATTTGCTGTTCCTAAATCCCAGAGGGCTCGGACAACTCCTGGGAATTCCTGCAGGTACAAGAGTGGCAGCTCAAGCTCCTGTTTGATTCTTTTTGGGGACTTTTTGAGCAGCTGCCACAACAAATGACAGTGCAGGGAGGGAGCAGCAAGCCCAGCCAGCAGAGCAGGATTTAGGCTGGGTTTAAGGCTCAGATAAAAGCTCAGGAACCCGCTTAAAGCTTGCTGCGACTCACGTGGCTCGGGGGAAGGAGTGGTGGGCATGGACTGCGAGGCTCCGAGGATGCTCTGAGGGCTGAGGGAGCAGCTGCAGCCCTGGAGGAGCTGCGAGGGGGAATTTCGGCCAGCGCAATCTGTGTTGTGTCACCAGTGCCCAGGAGGTTGTAACGTTCTTGTCGTGCTCTCAGCACCCCCTGTGGAGCCGCTGCTTGCTTTAGTCATGGCTTATTCACACAGCTCAGCACGGGAAACCTCTCAGCTCCCTGGGAATGGCCTTCCCAAAGAATCCTGGAGCTGAGCGTGTCCCTGTCCCACAGCAGAGAGCGGCTGTGCCCACGTGGGTGACAAGGACACCCAGCCTGGCCCTGGCTTGGCCAGGGAGCAATGGATATTTTGGGGTCCTTTTTTTGTTGCTTAAGTTGGGGTTAAATGTGTGAGATGGTATTTCTTGTTTGGACTTAGATGTTTGTTGTTTTTATCTGTATCACAGTCGAACAAAGTGTGAGTTTTGTAGTACCTAACTTTATAAGTTTAAAATGGAGATGTATCTTTGTATAAGGTTTTTTAAGGATAAAGTGTTATATAAGAAATTATATGTAAATTATCTTTACTTTTAACTCAATAATTACTTGTGGCTTGTAACGTGGACTCTTATCTAATTATACAATACTACTCAAACTCATGAAGAAGAAGGTGAAGAAGGAGGTAAAGAAGGACTAGCTTCTGCTTTAAAACTTCTATCTTGTTTTATATATATTCCTATATTCTAAAACTTTAAGTTTCCCACCATGTGATATTACACACTTCTATTCAAAATACATACTAATAATCTTAATTCTGTTATTTAATTTTGGAAGTTTTCTCCATGGCCTCAGGTCAGATGCAGTGTTCTCTTGGGGGTCAGTGCCTGGCAGCACAGAAAGTCTGGAATTCTCAGCAGCCAGGGTTCCAAAAATGGAGCAGCACTTCGGAGCTGCTCAGAGCCCAGCCTGGCTGGCGTGAGTCAGGAGTTTATTCCCATTAATAACGGGGAATGCGGAAGAGCTGCTCCCAGCTGCTGTGTCACCCCTGGCAGCAGCTCCTGAGGGTCACAGCCTGCCCAAATCCTACCCAGCTCTGCTGTTCAAATCTATTTTTTCCCCCTCCTTCTCCTCATACCCGAAGTTTTTCTCCATCTTTTTCCTGGCAGTGCAGGCTGTGAGTCACCAGCACCTTGGTGCCTGGCTGGGGGAGATGCTGAAGGGAGACCAGGAGGTGCCCAAGTGCTGCCACTGCTCAGCACCCCGAGCAGGGAAAGGAAGCAATACTGCTAAAATAACAAGCAGGATCTTCCTGCAATTCGTCAGCCTTTTTTATTTATTTATTTTTTTAATTTAATTTTTTTTTTTTTTTTTTTTTTTAGCTCAGCAACTGCTTGGTGTTTAATGTGTAGCACAGGAAGGGCTCTTGAGGAAATTTTGTGTGTGTGATAAAGAGCAGAGTGAACCTCGTGGGGCTGTGCTTGTGCCAGGCCACGGGGCGGGATGGAGAGCAGGGGTCGTGTGCTTGGCAGGAGCCCAAAACATTTCTGAGCAGCTGCTTGAAAACCAAGGGCTGACTTGTCCAGAAAAGGAGGAGTTTCTTAAAGCTGCTTAATCCAGCAGGAGATTTAGCTCAACACCCCAGAACGGGGTTTATTTTTGTCCTCATTTTTGGCATCAATGTTGTTCCAGCGCCGGTATTTCGTTTTCTTTGGGGAATGGGCTACAAGCAGGGCTAGGCTGGAAGTCACCTGCATATCTTAGGAACACCTGGAATGTTCTGGGCCAGGCTGGACAGGGCTTGAAATAACCTGGGACAGTGGGAGGTGTCCCTGCCCACAGCAGGGGGTGGAATGGGATCATCTTTAAGGTCCCTTCTGCCTCAAATCATTCCTGGTTTTTATTTTTATACAAAATTTCCTATTCAGTTTTGACAGCCCAGGCACAAGATCCTGCAGAACCTTGTGGAAAGAGGTTTTTTTCCCCTGTAGAAAACCTCAGGTCAGACACTTCAGTTGAGTTGTAAAACAAATGTTTCATCATTGCAGAAGAGCGCCGTGTGTGTGTGTGTGTGTGTGTGTGTGTGTGTGTGTGTGTGAATGTGGAACGGTTTTCCAGCAGTTCCCTTTTTGTTCCTTTCTCCACTCAAACGAACTCAGGGCAGTTTCAAAATCCTGGGCTCAGCAAAAGGAACGTTTGGGCTCGGGAGCAAGAAAAATAATCATCCCTAGGGTGGGTTGTTCTCACCCTATTTCTCAACAGCCCTTGCAAAGAAACGTCCCCAAAGTGCCTCTTTTCTGCCTTTCCCGCCAAAATTTATTGCACTTTCTCCCTCAACCGAAATTGTGAAGGAAGGGGGAAAAAAAATTTGTTTTCTCTGTGGATTTCCCTTTATCAGGCCAGGCAGCTCTGTGAGAAGGAAATCCATCATTCTTTTGGAGCTTGATACTGGGTGAAAATTGGGAAAAAAAGAGGGGAATGGGGAAGCAGCAGCGTTGGTGCAGCCCCTGAGGGCAGAGGCAGGCACAGAAACCCTGACACGTCCATGGGGTGTGGTGCACCACAAAGGATGTGGCCCTGTTCCTATCACACCACACCAGCTCCCCGCTCAGGGAATGGGCATCAGGCTGGAACCTCTGAATTCCCAACACATTCCAAGGAGAACTTTTGGGATGGGGCATCAAAATGAGTCCTCTTGGGGGGGGGGGGTCTGTGGTAAAGAGTGACCCTAGAGGTTTTAAAGGAGGACAAAATAATTGCAGCACACCCCCTCCTAATTTTTATAATTCCTAATTTTATCATTTCTAATTTTTCATTTTGTAATTTATAATTTTGTAATTTCTCAGAGTTGTTTCATTGTCACAATTTTAATTTCCTGGTAATTTTGCCTATGAAAGAACACAGAACTTATCTTTTTCTGCAGCTCAAAAGAGTGTAATATTTTATAATTAAAATATTTTATAGAATTATTTTATAATTAAAATATTTTATAGAATTATTTTATAATTAAAATATTACACTTGGTGTAATATACACTCAAAAGAGTATATATTACATCAAGTGTAATATTTTCCAGGAAGGCATTTTTCTCTTGTTTATGCTGCAAGGTCTGATTCTTTCAGTAGGCAAAGAAGTTTTCTCCTGGTTTTGCCTTTGTGATAATTTTTTATTAATTCATCATGGCCGTGGTGTGACATTTGGATGGTTTGTTATCAACTGGGAATGAACAGCAGCACAGCAATTTTATAACATGGAAAAACAGAAAAATACACTGTGGGTGATTTCTTCTGAGTCCTACAGTGCCAAGGGGCAGCCAGGCATTGAGAGATTCTTGCCTTGTAAATGCAAAATAAAAGTGGTGAGTCCAAGGAAGGGCAACAAAGCTGGGAAGGGGCTGGAAAACAAATCCTGGGGGGAGCGGCTGAACTGGGGGGGCTCAGCCTGGAGAAAAGGGGGATCAGGGGGGACCTCAGTGCTCTGCACAGCTCCTGCCAGGAGGGGAAATGGCCTCAAATGGCACCAGGGCAGGCTCAGGTTGGAGATGGGGACAGAAAATTCCCCTGACAGAGTGGTCAGGCCTGGGCTGAGCTGCCCAGGGAGGTTTGGAGTCGCTGGAATTGTCCCAGAGCAGTCTGGATGTGGCCCTGGGGACAGGGATTGGGGTGATGCTGGTGGGGCTGGGTGATCCTGAAGGTCTTGAGATGATTTAATGGAGAAGCTCTCCCTGCTCTGAAGGTTCTCCATGGATTCAGGGACACCTGAGCACTCTGATTCTCACTGAAAATGAGCGGCTCTGGCTTTCCTTGTGGTGGGATTCCTGTTGGAAAAGTCCCCAAGTCCCTGGTGCTGGGTGGGAGTGGAGGCTGAAGGGGTCAGGGGCTCCTTCCCATCAGCCCCAGAATTGTGGATTCCTCATCCCTGGAAGTGTCCCAGGCCAGGTTGGGACAGAGGGACAGAGGAAGGTGTCCCTGCTATGGAAGGGGTGGGATGGGATGATCTTTAAGTCCCTCCCAACCCAAACCAGTCTGGATTCTCTGTTTCCAGCAGCAGAAATTCCCTTGTCACTGTGGAGAGAGAATTTTCCAGGCCTTTTTCAGGCTGCCTGCCCCGTACCAAAGAGTTAATTCCTGTCAGCATTATAAACCACTGACTGCAGCTTGTGAATAGGAAATTGAACTAAAGCTCATAAAAACCTTGGCTTACAAGTAGAAAAACCTTGCACAATGTCTGATTTACACAGCCTGAGCTCTTTTTTTCACTTAAAAGCCTTGAGAAACACTGCGAGGCCTGAACACAGGAAGTAAAAAGTCTGACAGAGCTGAACATGCTGCTCTGGTGAGATCAAGAGATTTTATCCTGAGCCAAAATATTTCACTGAGCGTTTCAGCAGCCACACTCAGCCCTGGGATGTGTTGTGCTGAGTCTAAAAAGGATTTAGGTCCTGTCTGGCCTGCACATCCCTCAGATTGTTTTGCCTTTGCCCTTTCTCACTTGGCCATTAATTAGAGATTGTTGGGTGTTTTACCATGAGGGA